TTAGTTTAACGTTTACAGCATGTTAAGCTAACTTGTGTATAACTTAAGTTTACGTGCACAGCATGTTAAGAAAACGTGCACAGCATGTTAAGAAAAGGTGCACAGCATGTTACGCTTATGTACACAGCATGTTAAGCTTATGTGTACAGCATGTTACGCTTATGTACACAGCATGTTAAGCTTATGTACACAGCATGTTAAGCTTATGTGTACAGCATGTTAAGCTTACGTGCACAGCATGTTAAGAAAACGTGCACAGCATGTTAAACTAACGTGTTTAACACATTATTACAAGAGCCAGTTTACTTAATGTTTTATGTCTAAAAGATGGGAAAGACGTTTTATGAAGATGCCAACAGGTTTTATGAAGCATTCCATCTATGCTACAATAAGAAAAAGTCTGAAAAAGGCTTCTAGATTATACATCATAAAGAAAAATTTATTCCAGTTCTTTATGCGGCTCTTTGATTGCATTAAACATCTGGATGTGGTCCACCTCTGCTGTAGTAACGTAACGTTTACGTCTCAGGTTCAACAACCAGGACTTGGTCGCCAACAGCCTGTTCCTGAGCGCCTTCAAGCTGATCTACTACTGCCTGTTCGCCCTGCTCTACGGCCTGGCCGGCTCCTGCAGCAACGTCATCATGGTCAACTCCTGCTGGACCCTCGACCACATTCTGTCCCTGTGGCGCTCTCCCAACCGCACCAGCGTGGTCTACCCGCCCTGCGACGTGGACGCCTTCCTGGACATCCCGCTGGAAGAGGAGGGAGACAGGAAGTGCCACTCCATCGTCTCCGTCGGGCAGTTCAGGCCGGAGAAGGACCACCGACTGCAGATCAGAGCCTTTAAGAAGGCGCTGGACAGGAGGAAGGAGGGGCTGAAGCTCATTCTCATTGGAGGGTGCCGGAACCAGGAGGACGAGGACCGGGTGCTCATGCTGAGGGGCCTTTGTCAGGAGCTGGGCGTGGCCGACCGGGTGGAGTTTAAACTGAACGTTTCTTTTGAGGAGCTGAAGAGAGAGCTGAGCGAAGCCACCATTGGACTGCACACCATGTGGAACGAACACTTCGGAATAGGTAAACGATCAAAGTTCGGAATATTTTTAAGCCAAATTAAAAGGTTTAACGTTGTTTTCCCTCGTAGGCGTTGTTGAGTGCATGGCAGCAGGGAAGGTGATCCTCGCTCACAAGTCTGGAGGACCAAAGCTGGACATCGTCGTCCCTTTCGACGGGGGTCAGACCGGCTTCCTGGCAGACGACGAAGACGGTTACGCAGAAGCCATGAATCAGATCCTGGATCTGCCGCCCGCCACCCGCCTGCAGATCAGACGCAACGCCCGCCGGTCGGCGTCGCGCTTCTCCGACCAGGAGTTCGAAGCCTGCTTCCTGGCTGCCACGGAGCCTCTGATGGCAACGCTGGAGCGATGATCTTTTTGAACTCGTTGAACGCCTCAACAATTAAGAGACGTGAATTTGAATCTAGTCGTCGTTCCGCGTTTAGTTTGTGTTTTTGTAGATTGTTCGTCCCGTTAAAGTTGGAGCTTCACTTAAACCTGAACCGAATACTGAAAAATATAAACAGCGTATTTGTCGTTTACAGAATCCATTATTCCTAATCCAGCCGTTTTAGAACACAAAGTGTCGTACCAGATTAAAACTGAAACAGGACTAAAGGTGTACCGGTACCTGTGGCTGATCTCATTTTAAAAAGCTTTTCATTTTCTGGTTTTGACTTTTGCGTGAAGGTTTATGAAGCATTCACACTATTGTGATCCTGTTTATATTTATTACTCAGTGTTATTCTTCCAGCTAAACTATTTAGTACGTTTTTCAGCATCTTTCTCATCCCGCAGTTTTCAACCATTTCAAAAAATCATAAATCCAAACGTTCGGCTCTTTCAGGACAATCCTGCTGTGACTTTTGGTATTGGTGCAACTTTAGCTTTTTGAAATATTTTAGCCTTTTCTGCCATTTTTTTCCTCATAGAAAATGAACTGAGCTCATTTTACATCCTTCAAATCTTTAGATCTGTTTACAACCTTTTACTGCTCCTTTCACATTTTGTTCTGCTTCAGCTTCCTCCTGCCAAGTTAAACTTTTTTCAGCTACTTTCAGCTGTTTTGAGCTTTCACATTATTTCTGCTAACTACAACATTTTTGTTCTAACTTTTTTCTGCTTCTTTCAAGTAATTTCTGAAAATTGCATCTTTTTCTGCTATTTCAGCTACTATTTAGCTGTATTTCCTGCTAATTTTAGCGTTTTCAGATAATTCCACATTTTTTGCACTCATTTCAACTTTTTCAGCCTAATTCAGCAAAAATGTGTTCTCTCCACTTCTGATAATTTAAGCTTCTTTCTGTCTTTTTAGCTACTTTAAGCTGTTTTTCTTTTTAAGATGATTTTCACTTTGTGCCAACTTCTGCTTCTTTCAGGCTAATTAGGAAAACATTTCTGCTTTCTTCTGCTAATTTAAGCTTGTTTTACGTTTTTAGCTCATTTCAGCTGTTTTCAGATATATCCAAGTTTTTTTGTGTCAACTTCAGCTACTTTCAATTATTTCAGCTACTGTTTAGCTGTTTTGTGCTTTCTTGAGCTTATCAGCTAATTCCAGCTTTCCACTTCCTTACTTTCTGTCTTTTCTGGTATTTTTTTTTTTGCAAATTTTAATTTTTTTTTTAACTAAATTCATATTTTTTTGTGCTAATTTCTAATTAGTTAAACCTAAATCAGCAAATATGTGTTCCTTCTGTGTTCTAACTTGGGCTTGTTCTTCCTTTTCAGCTAAAATTCAGCATGTTTTAGCTAATTTCAGCTGTTTTTTTCTTCAGATAATTTCCACTTTTTGTGCTAATTTCTGCTTCTTTCAGCCTAATTAGGAAAATGTTTTTCTGCTTTCGTCTGCTAATTTAAGCTTGTTTTACGTTTTTAGCTCCATTTTTTTTTAAGCTCATTTCATTTCAGCTCATCTCATTTCAGCTATATTCCAAGTTTTTTGTGTCAACTTCAGCTACTTTCAGCCTAAATAACTTATTTATGCTACCGGTAATTTAGCTTGCTATGCTACTTTCTGCTAGTTTCAATTATTTCAGCTACTTTTTAGCCGTTTCGTGCTTTTTTGAGCTTATCTGCTAATTCCAGCTTTTCACTTCCCTTTCTGCCTTTTCAGGTATATTTTGCTTATTTTAACTATTTTTTTAAAACTAATTTCATATTTTTTGTGCTCATTTCTAATTATTTAAACCTAATTCAGCAAATATGCGTTCCTTCTGCGTTCTCCTAACTTAGGCTTGTTCTTCCTTAGCTAAAATTCAGCACGTTTTAGCTGATTTCAGCTGTTTATCAGCAATAAGCATTCATACTGCACTTTAGCAGTAAATGTAATTTCTGCAGTTTGAATTAAAACAAGTCTCACCTGTAGAGTGAAACTCCTCTCTCATAATCTAGATTACAGTCATCTATGATACGAACATTGATCGTTTGATGCCTTCACCGTTCGTTCTCTACTTACGATCGGCTCAACCAAACTTTAGTTCATCCTGCATCCAACAAAAAACATTTAAAACCCGTTTTTTTTCTTGAACTTCCTCACAAGGACACGACACCTGCAGCATCAGGTGCACCGACGTGAACTAACATCCGATGGTCTTAATGGTTCCAGTCAGATGGATCCCCATCCTCCCAGCTCAGTTCGAGGACGTCCATCTCAGCTCATTCAGCTGCGAGTGCACGGCAGTCACACCCCAACGTGCACACTCCAACACATTCCTGTGTGCAGAGGCTGGCCAGTGAGCAGAGGCTGAAGGTTTGGACCCATATAGAACCGCAGCAGAACCATGAGCGCGACACGAGCCACGTGTTGAGGATCAAGCTGCTCACACTGACAGGTGTGACTCCAAATACACGATTCAGATCTTTGAAACGAAGAATAGAAGAAAGGTCCAATAAATGCTCATCTATTTAAATACAGCATAGAACAAACTGCACAAAGTTCAAACTGGTCAAGAACTTCATCTGAGTTTTCCAGATCTTTTAAGGGGAACTAGAGAAACTGCTGAAATTAGCTATAAAAAAAAAACATGCTGAAATGAAAGAACAAACCTAATTTAGAAGAAAGCACAAAGAACAAATATTTTCTGAATTAAGTTTAAATTAGCAGAATGAGCACAAAAAAGCTGAAATAAGCAAAAAATAGCTGACTAGTAGCTGAAAAGAAACTACCAGAAGAAAGTAGGAGCTGAAATAAGCTAAAAAAAAAAAAAAAGTGAATTATCTGGAAAAAGCTAAAATTATCAAAAGAGCTTAATAGTGGCTGAAAGAGCAGAAAAGGCTGAAACTAGAAGAAATAAGTTGAAAGGAGCATAAGCTGAATCAAGACATCAAAGTTCATGCTCAATCATCCAGGTACAAAATCCAATAATGGTCAGTCAGGTCATCTGGACAGTTGCTTTTTATTGTGGAAAGACGTTTCGCCCTCTATCCGGAGGGCTTCATCAGAAGAAACTGAATCCGTAAATAAACTTACCAGATGACTTGACCATTATTGGATTTCTTTACCTGGATTATTGAGCATGAACTTTGACGTCTTAAACCACTTTGGCTGCCTGCCTGGGAGGACTCGAGGGGGGACACGACCGCCCCCTGAAGCCATCTTAGCACCAACAAACTGATTGGTCCACTAACGGAGTGTACTGCTTGGTGGGAAAAACAGTTTACGTGGGACTCCTCAGACTGATGAAGCCCTCTGGATAGAGGGCGAAACGTCTACAAAAAAGAAACTGTCCAGATGACCTGTCTGACCATTACTGGACAACGAGCTGAAATTAGCACAAGTTAATTAGGCTGAAAGTATCAGAAATTACCATGAATAACTTGAATTTATCTGACAACAGCTGAAATGAGCTAAAATGCTAAAAAAAAAAAGGTAGCTGAAAATTTAGAACAAGCTTAAATTAGCAGAAAGAACACATTTGTCCAATTAGGCTGAAAGAAGCAGAAATGAGCACGAAAAATGGAAATTATCTGGAAAAAAAAGCTGAAATTAAATAAAAAACAGCTGAAAAGTAGCTAAAATGGGCATAAAGAAGCTGAAGTTACCAGAAGGAAGTGGAGAGAGCATATTTTTGCTGAACTGGGCTGAAAAAGTTTAAATGAGTGCAAAAAATGTGGAATTTGCTGAAAAGGCTTAATTAGCATAACAGCTGAAATAGCAGAAAACAGCTGAAAGGCGCACGTCAAGCTGAAATTAGCAAAAAGACGTTGGAAGAAGCACAAAAATGTGTAGTTAGTTGCAGTCGAAGGCTGTAAAATGAGCCCGGTTCATTTTCCATGAGAAAATAAATGTCAGAAAAGGTTAAATATTTCAAACAGCTAAATTTGCTGCTAGTTTACCAAAAGTCATAGCAGAATTGTCCTGAAAGAGCCGAACGTTTTGATTTATGATTTGTTGAAATGTCTGAAAATGGCACAACAACTGCAGAACAGAAGAAAACTGGATGACAGAGTGTTTGTTCATGAACATTCAGACTATTCTTACATTTACCGGGTGTAGTTCAGAGTCCAACCACTAGAGCTGTAGAACCGCTGATCACAATTATTTGTTTTAGCTCAAAAATCACAGAAATCTTCAATAAAATAAAAAAGACAGACAACGAGGTCCAGTTTGAACATTTATATTGTGGTTTTCAGTTTATATGCAAGAGGAAACATTTACTCAACCTTCGTCTTCGCCTCACTTTAACCCCAAATATGTTGACATCGGCACATGGATACCGCACCGAGCCGAAGGATTGCCTAACGGAGCCTCTGTAGCCGAGCGGGCCCGACAAACGGCTGCTTTAATAAGCCTTTGTGGACCGGCGCATGATCGAGAGGAGCTCAGGGGAACCGTCGACGTTGCGTCAAGATATGTCATCCAGGTGCGGAGGGGTATGCTCGTAGGTCAGGGCTAGCACCTTTAAAACCAAATAAAAACCCTTCACGTTGGACTTTTTAACCAAAGTTCAGTCCTTTTACGCTAAAGGCTGAAGCGGAAATGGCACCGTGGAGAAACGAGACTTGAAAGCACTTAGTTCGTTGAACAGACGGGACGCCGTCTCCCGTCAGCGGGGCCGTCTCGTGAGATTTCCTCGACTTCTTGGATATGTGGCAGAGACCAGAGCAAACCGAAAGACGAGGTCCAAAATCAAGCGCACAGTCCATAAAGAAACCACCACAGACACTTCTGTTTAAGACTATTTAAACTCCTTTAGGGGCGGGGTCTCCTTGCTGCTTGGACCTCGGTGCGAGACTTTGGGAAAGAGTCTTCCGTCGGTTTTGCATCGTCCAAGTTTTGGAACAAACTCTTGAGCTTGCGTCTTTTTTTCCCCTCAAGAACTATCGGCGCTGTTCTACATTCCACTGTGCCCCGTCTCTCTGATGATTAAGACATTTATATTAAAAAAAAAATAAATTATTTCATATAAAAAGCAAACCAGTCATCGTAACACCCTTTAACTACCTCGCCGTCGTATTCCGTTTGTCTCACACATGCACACACACCGGAACAGCTTTGTGGTTTACAGCTTGAAGTCACACGTGACACATGCGGTATCAAAGCAAATACAAGAAAACCAAATCCTGACGTGGGTTTCGTCTCCGGGACGTGGCACAACTTTGTGGTAAAGAAGCAGGTGGACTCTTTTGAAAGGGCGGGGTTCGTCCAAAGTGTGCCAAGAATCTTCGAAAGTCGCAGAATAAAACGATGGTTTGGTGACTTTAACCCTGGGGACAGTCCCAACCGTTCCAGGGTAGTAAACCTTGCAGCTCTAAAAAAAAAAAATGCAGGGTTTGGCGATTCATATGTACACGGAGATCCCCAGAAGTCAAACCAAGAGTTAACGCACATTAAGACCTCAACACTCCCCTGTGAGTTTAGTCGCGTCCCCTCGCTTGGGAGGTGCAGGCGGGGGTCCTCGTCGCAGCGTTGCATAGCCTGAGATGTTCCCGGACACGTAGCCGCCGTTTCCTCCATTGCTCTGCTTCCCAGGGTCGTCCAGGAGCAGCTCGGGGGGCGGCGGAGGCAGCGCCATGTCGTCCATCGTCCCCGTGGGGTCCGACTTGCTCGAGAGGCTCGCCGAGTTGACCGAACCCTGGCGACCGACCGATTTTCGTTTTAGCGTCTGGCTGAGGTCCGCCAAGAAGTTAGGCTGACCCGAGCTGCCTTTCGGAGACGTCGGGGGAGAGACAGGAGGAGGTGGTTCTTGGGGGGTGTTGCTGCGCCGCCCAAGTGTGGGGGGAGGAGTTTTTTTTAGGGAGCTCTTGCCCCATATCGAGTTGCTGACAAGAGAGACAGGGGGTGGAGGAGGGGGAGCTTGGGGCTGGGGGTTCACCACGGCTACCCTGGGAGCTCCTCCGCCGTGGGAGTCGTTGCCTGGTGGCGGTGGAGGGGGGAAGAGTTCAGAGGCTGGGGGAGGAGGTGGAAAGTAGGCACAGTCCGGTGGTGGAGAAGGGAAGTCGCCGCTGACCTGCTTGGCCTGGCTCACTTTGGCCTGGAGGGCCAAAGGCAGGTTAGCCAGGTTGAGCTTTCCTGGTTTAGGAGGAGCAGGAGGTCCGTTTGAAGGGTCCTTGGAAGGAGATCCGTTGGAAGAGTAGGAAGAACACGAGGAAGGGGCCGTGTTGTTTTGAGGAGCGAATTTACTGAGCAAGTTTCTCCTGGATTCCTCGTAGGAGGAGGAGGAAGAGTTGGACTTGACACTGGAGTTCCTCTGAGGGGTGGGAGGAGGCTTTTTGGCGCCCAAACTAGAGGAGCCCGACGGCGACCTCCTCAAGGGGGAGCCCAGATTTCCAGGAGGAAGTGGAGGAGGTGGTGGTGTTGGGCCTGAGACAGGTGGCGGAGGAGGAGGAGGCGGAGCAGGAAAGCAGTTTTTGCTTTCTGCAGGAGGAGGAGGAGGAAACTCGGGAGACTGAAGCTGCTGGCTGCCCACAGGCTGCCATTTTGGTTTGGTCTTCACTGCAGGGGGGGAGAGGGGGGCTTTGGGGCTCTCGGTGTGATTAGCTGCTTGAGATGAAGCTCCTGGAAACTGACTCGCAAGCTGCTTCACTAAAGACATGGCAGGAGCTGCTCCTGCAGGAGAAGTGCTCATCGTTTTGGTCAGGCTGTTCAGCTTGGGCAGCGTAGGGGGAGGATAGCTGAGCTGCTTCTTTACAGATCCCACTGTGGGGGGAGGAGGAGGAGGTGGAGGAGGAGGAGGCGGTGGAGCTGGGGCTGGCGCACTCATGGCAGCAGGAGGTGGAGCAGGAGGGAACGGAGAAACCGGAGACGTGGGCTTGGGAGTAGTCTGAGGGACAAACCCAGGAGTGAAGGTTTTAGGTGGCGCCGGTGGGGGTCCAGGAGGAGGTGGGAACTGGGCTGGTACTGGGAGCTGCTGTGGGGGAGGAGGCGGAGGAGGGGGAGGAGGAGGTGGCGGCGGAGGAGGTTGTGGTGGAGCGGGAGCAGGTGGCGGGGAATCCTCAAAATCTCCATTTAGAGACAGGAGTTCTCGTGGCGGGCTCGGGAACCGCTCCTTCAGGGCCCGCTTGAGCCCATTGGCGTAGACCGTCTGACACAGTGGAGCGGGTGTGGAAGGCGGCGGAGGGGGAGGAGGTGAAGGAGGGAGAGGGAATGCTGCACAGTTTGTCTGTGGAGCAGGTGGAGGATCAGGGATGAAAGGAGGCGGAGCTAGTGGGCTGGGAGGGCCCAACCTCAACACGGCCATGGCAGAACCTGGGGTTGGCATGGACGGTGGAGGAGGAGGAGGCGGCGGAGGAGGGACGTTAGTCCTTGCAGCGATATGATTAATGTTGGGCTTGACGACCTCCGCTTTAGGTGGTGCTGGCACCGGGGGGAGGACTTTGTGAGCTGTTACGTGGAGGTGACTGGGCAGTTTATGGTTCAGGGCGGAGTTCTGGTTCTGCAGCCGGGTGATGGTGCTGTACTTGTACATGGTGGGAGGCAGGGTGTGGTGGGACACCGTATGAACTGGGGGAGGAGGCGGCGGAGGTGGCGGAGGTGGTGGAGGAGGAGGAGTTAGCTGCGGTGACGCCTGCTGTGGGGGCGTGAAGTTGTAGCTGTTGTTGGTCGGCGGCGGTGGAGATGGAGGCGGCTGACTGGGACTCTGCGGCGGCTCCGGCGGCGGAGGAGGAAACGACGGCTGCGGGGTTTGCTGAGGAGACGGAGGCGGGGGAGGCTGGTGGTGTTGCAGTGGAGTCGGTGTTGGAGGCTGCTCCGATGAGGGCGGAGGCGGCACGAGGATCGGATGGTCCACTGAATGCTGGCTGTGGTGTCGGTGGCTGTGGGAGGAATGCGTCGACCCGCGGGACGCTTCCGTCCTCATCTGTGGAGAAAAGACGGTCTCAGTTACGCAGATCAGAGAATATGAAGTCAAACCTGCGACCGAAAGACGCACCTTTGAGTTCTCCTCCATCTGGGTACCCCTCTTCCAGGCTTCAGAGAAAATGGAGCTCACGACACTTTGAGAGCGGCCGTGAGAGGAGCCGGTGTCCACACCGCTGTCCGAGTGTCCCGAATGATTGGACTGGGACTCTGACAAGACAACAACCGCAAACAGAACATTATACGCCCGTCAACAACAGCAGCACAGCAGTACAACAATCTATTGAAGAGGCCCGGACAAGCAAGGACCTTGTATAACTTTTGACCTTGACCTTGAAGCTGAGATGAACACTTTAGGGTCACGCTGTCTAGTGGTGGTACGAATGTGTCAAACTTTGTTAAATTGTCTTGAGCAGACCTGAAGTTATGGGTGAGATAAGCAAAGACCTCATTTTAACGTTGACCTTGATTTGTGACCTTGAAGCTGGGGGTGATTAAAATATTATGCAACGACCCATCTAGTGATGCTGCATTTGTATATTAAATGTTAAATTATCTTGAGCAGATCAGGAATTCTAGCCTGGGCAAGACATTGCATAACATTTGACCTTGATTCGTGACCTTGACCTATAGTTTTAGGTTTGTTTACGGATGTACGGATGGAGACTATACCATAAGACGTCATATAAAAACCTTTTGTTTTAAAAGATTCTTCACATGAAGCCTTAGAATAACACCGATACACGCACATGCTGGATCGACGAGGTAACGGCTAATCAGAACGAGATCGAGATAAGACTCGTCTCAAACATTTTAGGCCCCTCCCCCAAACTAGACGTTAGCTCGTTGTTCCAAGAGCCATCTGCATCAGGTAAGATATTAATTATTTGGAAAGTTTGCACAAAGCCCCACTTCGGAAAGTGTGAGCCACTAAATAAATTTCCTTTTATGCCACAAAAGTATAAAAATATCTCTCAGTGCTCAAAAACGGAACTAACCGGGAATGCTGGCAGTGCTGGAGCCCGAACGGATGCTGGAGGTGGACAGGGAGGACCAATCATAGGCAGCCTCTGTCCTCTTCATGGCCTCCTGGTAGTTCACGTACAGCTGCTTGCCATACTACACAGAAACAGGAAACATCAACAATGACGATTTAAATAATTATCTGATGTTCTGTCCTGAGAATCGAGCTCGGCTCAGGCCCACCTTGGCAATACGGATCCCATTCACCCACTGATGCAGAGTCCGGACATCGTCACAGCACAGGTACTTGATGTACTGAGACTTCTTCTGAATCTGGGGATGCTGTGAAAAACAATAAACAAACATCCGTTTGTTTTCTGGCCACAAAAAAATGCTCAAACCTTTAATTATAATAAAACAGTCGATAGAAACATGGCTACAATCTGAAGAGGCTGATTGCTGTCGCTTTAACAGGTCAAAGAGGTTAAAAAAAAAAGGTTGCACGTTTCATGTCTGCCTGAGTGAAGCTCTTCTCAGGTCAAGTCAAACTTATTTATAAAGCACATTAAAAACAGCTGTTACCAAAGTGCTTAGCAATAAGATCAAAGGCTGTAATTACAGAAAAAAACAACAGAATGTAATTAAAAGCATCAAAAGTAATTGTCAGTGAAAACAGGTGTGTTTTTAGCAGACATTTAAAAACAGGAAGTGAAGTGGTCTGTCTAATGTTGGGGGGCAGATTGTTCCAGAGTTTGGGGCCCACGACTGAAAAAGCCCGATCACCTCTGAGCTTCAACCAAAAGCAGCTGGTTGGATGATCGCAGCGCCCGAGAAGGAACAGATGGTTGACGTAGCTCAGAGATACGAGGGGGTGCAAGTCCATTTAGGCATTAAAAGTCAACAGGAGAATTTTAAAATAAATTCTGATGCGTACAGAGAGCCAGTGAAGGGAGGACAAAACTGGGGAGGTATGATCAAACCTACGAGTCCCTGTTAAGAGCCGAGCTGCAGCATTTTGGACGAGCTGGAGACGTGAAAGGGACACCTGACTGACCCCAACATAGAGCGCGTTACAGTAGTCTAGTCTTGTAAGGAAGGCATGGACTATTTTTCAAGGTCAGATCTGGTCAACAGTGACTTGAGTTTAGCCATCTACCTTAAGTGAAAGACGCTTTTCTGCAGAACAGATTTAATCTGTTTTTTTAAACTTAAAGTCACTAAAACCATCCTGAGATTTGTAACAGACTGCTTAAGATACGGCTCAAGACAGTCGAGGTTTACAGGAACAGAGACAGCAGTAGAGCTAGGGCTAAACACAACGACTTCAGTTTTCTGATCGTTAAAACTTTAAAAATTTGAAACCATTCGTGACTTGATGTCATCAAGACAGTTTAACAGAGGATGAATGGAGCAAGAACTGTTAGGTTTTAAGGGCAAACAAATCTGACAATCATCAACATGGCAATAAAACAAAAGACCATGTTACCTCAGGATAGACCCCAAAGGGAGCAGATACAATGAAAACAAAAGTGGTCCAAGAATCGAGCCCTGTGGGACCCCGCAGGAAAGGGCCACTGAAGCAGATAAACTATTACCAACATTAACACAAAAGCTGCTGTCACTCAGATAAGAACAGAACCACTCCAACGCTGCACCTGTAATCCCAACCCAGTGTTCTAACCTCGATATTAGGATACTGTGGTCAATATTGTCAAAAGCAGCGTTAAAGTCCAGGAGTACCAGGATCACAAACTGACCAGGGTCATTTGCAAAAAGAATGTGGTTACCACCCCTCACTAAACCTGTTTCGGTGCTGTGTAGTTGTTTAAAACCAGACTGAATCTCCATACCGTGAATGCAAACAGGTATTAACGAGCGGTACACCAATGCCCCCAGGATCTGAAAAGTCAGTGATTGTAGTTTGAGGCGAGTTTTTCCTGGACTGGATTTTAAAACGGCGTCCCAGTTTTTGATAAGGACCTCTCTTACACCTGTATGCAGCCACACATCAAAATGGAAGCTGGTGCCTGACTTATTTTTTAAATTATGCTCAGAACATGCACGGACGGACAGTATTCTCAATTCCGCCTCTTTGCTCCGCTACGGGGGGGGGGGACAGAAGCACTCACTTTCAGGGCTAGGCAGTAGTCGGTAGGAGCTTTGTACTTGCTGCGGTAGTCCTGACCGTAATACACGTTGACGTGGTCCAGCTGCAGGAAGCACACAAGATCTCTGGACGCCTGCGGAACAGGAGACACGGGAAATGTTAGGAATCTACGCAACTTTAACTGTTGAAAAATTACCGTACATGCCGTCGTACATGTAGCACCGCCTTTAAGTCGCATCAGTCCAAATATGTCTAAATAATGTGGGGGAAAAATAAGTTGCATCTATTATGCTTCACAGCTGACGCGACACGTTTAATACGTGTCACCGCAGGCAACCCGGAATCATGGGCTGGTGTGCCAAAAATCGACTGGCTGCCTGCCAAATGGCACCCGTGGGAGCGTGCTCTGGAGGACTTTAACACAAATTTAACAAGATAACCACCTAAAAACAATTTGTTTGCTCAACATTATAGCAAAAGTGTGACTCAGTTGAACTTTCCTTAATAAATGCACTTTAATGGTCAAATCAGCTGCATTTCACCTGGGCGGCGCGACAAAATGCAGCTGATTTGACATTTGCCCCAGGAGTTCCAGAGCGAGACCAAGGTGGCTGTCTATGGCAAGCCAAGTGTCTCAATAATAGCCACTTTTACCTATTAATGAAACACTTAGCTTGCCATATTAGTCGATCGCCCTCTAGCGGCTGAGAATGGTAGTGTTCAATATTTTCCATGTCAGAATGAATGAAATCGTCAGATCTCAGCCAAAAATTGTTTATAAATATGGGAAAAACGTATGTTAGCCGCTTCAGTGTATAAGTCGCAGGACATGAAAATGTATGCAAAAAGGTGCAACTTATACGGCGAAAAACAAGGTAAGCTGCATTTTTAGTTATTCGCTGAAGAAGTCAGAGAAAGGGATGATGTTGAAAATAAAGTACACCTCGATGAACAACAAAAAACTCTTGGAAGTAGGCCTGTCGCGATAAACAATAAATCAATTAATCGCATGATAAATTAAAATTATCTACGTCATTTTCATTTATCGGCTTTATCGTTTCTTCGTGTCTCTTTCTACTGAAGACACCGGATGACAAAAGGCTCAACTCCAATGCTCTTCACTGATCCTCCTTTTCTCTTTAAAATCTGTTTTAACCGTCCAAAATCGTGTTTTTGGACGGTTAAAAGTAGCTAAGCTGAGAAGCTAAGCTACGAGCTAAGCTAACAGGCCAACCTCAGGAAAAAAAACTCCATCTTGTCTAAGCTCCAAAATTCACGGTTGAAACCCGTGCCTTCTTCTAAAAAGTTTGGGTTTTTTTGCAAAAAGAAGCTGAGAACTTGTTTAGTGTTTTTTTTTAATTAAAAGCTTTGTGTGAAAAATGCGATGCTAAAGAGCGCAAACCACACAGAGCATCCGCCATTTTGAGAAATGAAAAACAGGAAGGAGAGACAGCCCATGTCACGTCAAGGGGCCTCCCTCCCATTTTTCTTAAAGAGATACGCTGCTCGCTCCCTCACTATCCTTCGGTTCAAACAGTCTTATACTGCCATCCGGTGGTCGAAAAAAGGTACTACACACAAAATTAACCAACATTTCTTCTTAAACAATATTATCGTTTATCGCAATAATTTCTGAGACAATTAATCGCCCAGCAAAATTTGTTATCGTGACAGGACTACTTGGAAGTGATCGAGCCCAAAACAGGAAACACCAGAGTGTAGATCTGGTTCTCATAACCCTCGTGCACATTTCTATTCTTTATCATCTTGTGTGAGCAATGTGACCGTTAGCTTAAAGAGCACCGGCTCCAAGCCTCGCCTGACCTTAGCTTTGCCCTTTGGGACGTAATAAATCCCCGAAGCCCTGAGGAGGAAGTAACGCTTCTTCCACGACTTCTTTCCGTCCTCTTTGAGCCACAGGACTCCCTCGATCTCGGGCACGGACACCGAACCGCCGCAGAAACATTCCTGAAGGGGCACAAATTAAAAAAAACAATAACTAAATAAATCAACGTGACGCTCACGGTCGTTAGAAATATCAAGTCTTACCTCTAGTAAAGCTTCTTTATTCCTGTCGATCATTTCTGACGTCTCCTTCCGCCCCAACAAATAGTTCTGGAAGCGATTGAATGAAATAAAGGAAGTGAGCACCGGTGGATGACGACTGGGGGGAGAAGCTGGCGGCGTACGTCATCTAACAGCAAGTAAATTATTCATCTTTACTCACTGTAGAGCATTGACCTACTTCCCCCTCGCTCCCTGCACTCCGCTCATAAACAATTTGTGTAGCACACACTTCACGCACCGAAGAAGCGTTTAACGGACGGTCACCTGGGGGTTCTTGAAGAGAGCGTATTTCTCGATGCGCTCGATGAACATCAGCTTGTTGTGGCTGTCCCGCGTCCAGTTCAACAAGTTCTCCACCAGGTTCTCGTGATCCTCGAAGATGCGCTCTGGAAAAGGAGGCAAATGGAGATAAAAGCGCTCGTGTCGCTCCAAAGCCAACAACGAAAACTCAAACAACTGGTCGACTCTCAGCCCGTACCCATCTGCAGCTCGTTAATGGTCTCCACGAGCGACCAGTCTGGGCTGTAGCCACAGTGGGACTTGTCCAGCAGACTGTCCAGAACCTGCCGGACGGTTTGCCGCTCGTCCACCATCATGGTCTTGGAGCTCTCGTCCGACATGTGGACCCTGATCACCAACTGAAGACGAGCAGAACAAAGGGTTAATCAAACAAGATGGGCAGCTTGTGCACAGAGCTGGCATTTAAATTGAAAATAAAACAGCTGTTGTCATAAAGAAAACTACCGTAATGTCTGGACTATAAGCCTCCACTTTTTTCACAGGCTCTTTATTTCGAGGCTGTGGCTAATTTACTGATTTTTTTTTTCCGGGCTTCCTGCCGCTAAAAACGATCAAAAAAAGAATGGTGATCAACAACTTCCTGAAAGAGACCGAGGACGTGTGTGATGAGGATTTTCTGAAGCTGTTCAATTCCGACACTGACAAAGACGACTTTAGTGGTTTTAGTGCACAGGAGGAGGATGACGATAGCCATCAGTGACTTCCTGGTAGGCTACTGTATTTATTTTTTTCAAACCAGCCGTTAGGGCTGGACGATACGGACCAAAATTAATATCAGAACAAGCTTTATTATCATTGCACCGAGATACGAGAACATGTACGCACAGCCGTCCGAAAGATGGACGGAGCGCACGAAGCTGCTGCTATAAAGCGCGGCCTTCTTATTCTTATTCAGAATACAATTTTTTTAGATAAATAAAGGGGAAAAGCCGTGAGGAGAGGGATAGTGGCATTACAAAAAAGATCTCTTCACACCTTGTCCTTACAGGGCAATATTTAAGACGTCAAAAAAAACTGCCAGCTAAGCACATTTATGAACACGTTACATATGCATTTACAAACGAGGCGGTCCATGAAGCACTTCCAGATAGTCCACTGTCCTGATAAGATGATGGTCAGCCAGTACAGTTCTAATAAGACTCCACAGAAGGGCGGGGGGAGGGAGGGGGGTTGCGATAGACTAAGCTTTTCCTTAGTTTACACATTTCCAAGGAGAAATTGATAAGTCGGCCTGTTCCGAGGCCAGCTGGGGAGAGGTTCAGATAATATACAATTGTTGATTTATTCAGGCAGACAATTTTCCATCAGCCTCGAGTCTGTACAGATAACTTTCCAAGGTCCAAAATGTCCAGATTAGGGTGCATTCCACTGGTCCGTGCTTACGAGCCTCTTCAAGAAGGTGTTTTCATGCTGACGAGTCCCAAAGCCGCAGGAGGCCTGCGATTCAAATCACTTCCAACTTACGGTTTCGCTCGTAAATCAGCTGATTTTGAGTCCTCCAAGCACGAACCAGAACTTCACATAGACAGCAGCTTGTCAAGGTCCAAATTACCTGCGGCCGTCTTCTTTGTATTGTGACTATTGGAAAAACAGAAAACCTGTTATCATAAATCCAATTATCGGCAATTCCAGCATCTTCAGTCGATAGCAGAGGTAGACACATCCCCCCCAGAGATACATCCAGCTGCACGTCTCGTCTGAGCAGACGAGGGTTCCCCAGGACGCTATCGCTTTGTTGAAAGAATTTGTAATATATGTCGAAAGTCCAGTCGGTCAGATCCAAAACAGTAGTTTCCATTTCAGGAGATGTGTAAAAAAATAGGAGCTGCTCCGATACACAGACAGAGAGCAAAAAAAAAAAAAGAGCAGGAGGAAAACAGGGAGCGGGAAGGAACGCGTGCGTATCGCTTGAGAGTTAGTGAAGAAACAAAAAAAGATATTCTATAAAAAAATACGATATTTATAAATACGATATATCTCGATATTTTAAGCAAATGGCGATACACAATATATATATATATATATTTTAAATATCGAGATATCGCCCAGCTCTACCAGCAATGTTACAGTCACTGTTCAGACAAAATAATTATTGTACGTACTGTATTTTTCTACATTACCGGTACGCGTCTAATTAAGTTTAAAAAATCTTTTCGTGAAAATATCTCGTGTTACAATGTGAACACCCGCGGCTTATACATGTACACATTTATTTTTTTATTTTTAATTTAATGTGTGCAGCTTATATGCACAAGTTACTTCCACCACACGTACCAGATGTGGTGCGAATGACAAATAAAGAAACTCTGACTTATACTCGGGTGCGCTCTGTAGTCCAGAAAGTACGGTACGTCTGACCCAGTTTGTGTGGAAAATAACTCGAGCGTGATTTTTTTTTTTTGTCCTCCTCCTGTCTCTTATTCACAGTTTCTGTGTTTTCCGGTTCATCCCACAAAGAACAACGACTCGTTTTGTTCTTTAAAGACTTGAATAAAAATCTTATATTGGCAAAGAAGTATCCCTAGTGTTTTAGTTTTGGTAAATAATACGGCAGCTTTTATATGTTGATGTAAGTACCATAACTGCCGATCTATAAGTCTACAAGCAGACTGCCGGTCACCTGGCCTCGGGGAGGGATTATGGGTAAAATGTATATTCATTGCTAATTATTTTGGTTAGCTGTTTAGCATCGATTTAGCTTAGTTTATGTGTTCAGTAGAGTAACCACGAGTGAGGGAGGTAGTTGTCATGAGTATGTGTGGTGTTTTCTCTGTCTGTGTGTTGACAGTAAAAAAGTCTATAAAACGTCATCTGGTGGTTGAGTCTTGAACTACAACAAGAGTTGCACATTTCTCTCAGTAGCTGCCGCTCACGTTACAACATGAACACCTGCGGCTTCTATATGTGTACATTTAAATATATGTATATATTTAGTGTGCATGGCTTAAATTCGGGTGCGCTCTATAGACCAGCAATTACGGTAGTGGGTTTGTAGCTAGAATATTTATTTTACGCCACTTTACAGAGAGAAAAAATCTTATAAAACCAGAACCGTGTGTCCGATTCATACAAAAAGAAGTGATCTGTCCGTATTTGAGAAAATCTAAAAACCGACTACACTATTTTATCCACCACGTGCAGTGGTAGAGTCAAGGGGTGGCCAATGGTGGCCTTCGTCCCCGTAGATTAATCTTCAGCCACCCCAGTAGTTCAGTATCTGGGCGTCTTGTTCCTGAGTGATGGTAGAACAGATCGGGGGCTCGTCCTCTGTAATGAGAGCGTTGCTACGGTCGGTCATGGTGAAGAAAGAGCAGAGTCAAAAGGCAAAGCTCTTGATTTACTGATCTGTCTACAATCCAACCCTTTGGATCATGACTGAAAGTGGCTGAAATGAGCTTCCTGCAGAGGGTGGCCGGGCTCAGCATTGGAGAGAGGGTGAGGAGCTCCGTCACCTGGGGGGGAGCTCGGAGTAAAGCCGCTGCTCCTCTGCATCGAAAGGAGTCAGTTGAGGTGGTGCCTCCTGGATGCCTCCCTTTAGAGGTCGTTGGAGAGGTAGTGCATCTTCTCTGGCCTGGGAACACCTCGGGGTCTCCCCGGACGAGCTGTGAAGCGTCTCTGGGAAGAGGCATGTCTGTTTTTTTTTCCTCCTGAACCTGTTGCCTCCGTGACCCAACTACGTTAGAAGATAAAAATGGAGCTTCAGCCTTTCTTACTCCTAAATGCAGACACGCACCAAAATGGAAGCCGGTCTGCATTTTTCCCCCAAGTTATCAGGTTCTCAAGGTGAACGGAGGGAGCGCGTTTCCAATTCCCCTCTTCGCTCGACAACGAGGGACAAAAACATAAAACATTTACCGCATTTTCCACCGTACACGTCGCACCGCTGTTTAAGTAGCATCAGTCCAAATTTGTCTAATAAAGTGAAAAAAAACCCAAATATGTCTCTTCGCTATATAAGTCGCATATATTATGTGTCATCGCTGACAACCTGGAAATGTGGGCCGGTATTGTGGCAAAAATCGATTGGTTGCCGCGGGAGTGTGCACGGGAGGACTTTAACAAGATTAACATTTAAAAACAATTATTTGTTTGCTCTAAATTATAGTAAAGGTGTGTCTCATTCTAACTTTTACTTAATAAATGCACTTCAATGGTCAAATCAGCTGCATTTCATTGAAATGAAGCGGATTTGATGGTTGCTCCAGGCGAGCTGGACGAAGGTGGCAGGCTATGGCAAGCAGATTGTGTCACTAATAGCCACTTTTACCTATTACATTACACAACGGCATGCCATACTACTCAAGTGCCATCTAGAGGCTGAAAATGGTAGTGTTCAGTATTTTCAATGTCAGAATGAATGAACGGTCATATCTCAGCCAAAAATTGGTTTATAAATGTGGGAAAAATCCATGAATAAGTCGCTTCGGTGGATAAGTCTAGGCCGAAAAATACGGTAATTTCCTACAAGCGCAGTTCTCCATTTGTGTGTTTGAGGATAAAGATCGTCTGAGCATGACAAAAGATGGAGCCGCGTCTAAAGTCCGGTCCTCCACCAGCTGCTGGATTCCCTCCCCGACTACCAAGCAGCTCCTTCGGATGGACGACTGAACCGGAGCTCAAACCACAAAGATGGGGAGAATATCTCAGATGTGTGTGTGTGTGTGTGTGTGTGGGAGTGACCTACATTTCTCTACAAAAAATAAATTGTGGCTTTAGTTATCCACCTAAAATTCAGAAATGTGTGGAAAATTATGATTTATTGCCGTTTTTTTTTTGATCGTCTTGTGTCTTGGTGCTCCCTCCCCCGGCAGATCCACAACCAAACGCCGCAATGACCTACTTTCCCCACGCTTCGCCGTCTGAATGAGGTTCAAAAGAAACGCGGCGTGCGGAGAATATGACAAGACAGCTCGTCTTACACAAGTCAGGGGGGGTGGGGGTTTAGCCTACCTTTTTGACCTGAGCCTCCTTGATTTTCTCCAGGGCGACTCGGATCTTCTCTGCCTTCACTTTGGCAGCTTGTTCCTCCTAGTTGGACAAAAACACGGAGCACGGTTAATCGAGCTGTGCAGCGACAACACGCCGTCATCAGGAAGCACTCCCCCCAACCAGAAGTTTAAACACAGAAGCGGACTCTTCCTCACCTGCCCCCTCCAACAAGAAGCCATCACCTCCATTCTACAGGTGTCGGCGCGTACGCGACTATTCACGGAAACGACGGTTAAATGTCTGCGGCTGCGACACGGGTCCGGCGTTGACGCAAAAAATGGCGCCCCATCGCTCGTTTGGGGTTTCCTCCTTTGATCCTGGAGACAATGGTAGGAGATCCCTACAGGGCGAGAGGACTTCAAAGAGCATCTACGCCGTTCACTTAAAGATGCCCAATCTGTCATTTAAAACTGAATAAATAAATAAATAAGGGGGGGGGGGGGGGGATTATAGATTTGTCCATAATTTCCAGATAAAGTTCCAGAGTCGGTTGAAGTTCAGATCTAATCCATCAATCGAAGACAACCGAGATGAAACTTGGCGGCACGTGCGCGCTGCAGACGAGCACGGTTTGACAAAAGCCCAAACGAGATACTAGAAGGGGTGACGGCCCCCCCTCCCCCTCGCTTCCTCCCTTTCTCAACGGCAGCAGAGCGTGCCCAATCAACGGGAGCATAATCCTGCAGAAGTAGTAAAAGCGGGGACTCGGCCAACCAGCGAGCACCTTTCAGCCAATCGGCACGAGGGGGGAGACCCATGGCCGACTCGGGCACCCCGACCCCCCGGAGCCGAATGACAGCGGCGGGGACGTGGAGAGGAATGTGGGTGAATGAGCTGAATATTTCATGTGTGCATTAAAAAAAGGAGCGTTTGAGTTCAGAGGGATGGGGGGTGCTGCTCTTCAAGCCTCTTATCTCAAGACACCCCCCCCCCCCCCCCCCCCCCCGACTTACTTTTCCACATGAGCAGCTTGCAGGCGCACACACAGTGGCAGAGCTTTACTCGCTCCAGAGTGAGGGAGTCTCACCCTCAGCTCTGACGTTGCGTCAAACTGGTATTTTAATAAACATTTCTCAGGCAGGGCGGCACGGTGGCGCAGTTGGTAGAGCTGCTGCCTCTCAGCGAGAAGGTCGCCGGATCGAATCCCGGCCAGGGGAACATTCTGGGTGGAGTCTGTGTGTTCTTTCTGTGCATGCGTGGGTTTTCTCCGGGTACTCCAGTTTTCTCCCACAGACCAAAAACATGCATGTTAGGCTGATTGGTAACTCTAACATGTCTCTTGGTGAGAGAGAGTGAGAGAGAGAGAGTGAGAGAGAGAGAGAGAGAGAGAGAGAGAGAGAGAGAGAGAGACTGATTGTCTCGTTTGTCTCCAGGTGTCCCTGTGATGGACTGGAGACCTGTCCAGGTGTCCCCTGCCCCTCACACAGTGACTGCTGGACATGGGCACCAGCGACCCCTGTGACCCACCTGACAAAGTCGGTAAAGATAAAACTAATCTCCGATCATCTATCCATCATCCATCCATCCATCATCTATCAATTTATCCATCCATCCATATGTCCATCCATCATCCATCGATCATCTACCAATTTATCCATCATCCATCTATCAATTTATCCATCCATCCATTCATATATCCATCATCCATCTACCATCTATCAATTTATTCATCCATCCATCATCCATCGATCATCTACCAATTTATCCATCCATCCATCCATCAATTTATCCATCCATCCATCCATATATCCATCATCCATCTATCATCTATCAATTTATTCATCCATCCATCATATATCAATCCATCCATCCATCATCCATCTATCTATCAATTAATACATCCATCCATATAGCCATCATCCATCTATCAATTTATCCATCCATCTATAATCTATCAATTTATCCATCCATCCATCCATATATTCATCATCCATCTATCATCTATCAATTTATTCATCCATCCATCCATCAATTTATCCATCCATCCATCCATCCATCCATATATTTATCATCCATCTATCATCTGTCAATTTATCCATCCATCCATCCATCCATCAATTTATCCATCCATCCATTCATCAATTTATCCACTCATATATCCATTCATCCATCTATCATCTGTCAATTTATCCATCCATCCATCATCTATCCATCAACCTCTGAGGGCCAATGAAAAATGCCTAAATTGGACGTTGTCTTATGCACTGTACACACAACGTGAGTGAACATGGGCGGAACGCGCAAGGCGGCCGTGACACTGCGATCGTCTCGTACGTTCAAGTCCGGTTCTGTCAGAAAGAGTGCGTGCTCAGCAGGCGTGCCACCGTTACCAAGCTTTTAGTTTGCAAGGTTCTTTATTAAATATATATTTATCACAATAGGCATGCAGAGCAGAAGAAAGCAGCACACACACACACACACACACCAGCGAGTGTAGGCATCACCTTGGTCAGGAGGTGAGAAGGTTTTCCTGCTATGCTTTTCAGAATGAGCGAGGTTTCTCTGTCCAGATAGGAATGCTTGGGGTGAAGAGAAGGAGGACAAAAACAGAGAAGTCAGTGCCAGATGATTCGTTGAAGCTTGTTTTATTAATAGCAGGTGATTTAATCTGTTTTTTAATTTAAATGAAGCGTGAAGTGAGAGAAGTCAGCGTTTGTGGTCGTGGTTAGCTGCAGCTGTGGGCGAAGAAGCGACGATCGAGAGCAGACCTGAACGAAGACACGGTCGCCCTGACAGTCCACGGATTTCACATTTAGTTATAATATATATATATATATATATATATATATATATATATATACTGAACTGTTTAAAAAGATGAACAGGAAATAGAAAACTGTTGGAGCAGGATGAAACGTACAAAGAAAATCAAGCCGCCGCTTGAAGGAACGCACGTCAACCACCAGACTCTTAGAGGGGAAGTGAAATATAAAAATTAAGTTTTATTTTTTAAACATTACGTCAACCCATTTCTCTCATTTAAACATTTAATGACTCGTTTTTAGGATAATCGTAAAAAACAAAAAAAACAACAAAAAAAAAAAAATCCCCAAATGATGTGATTGTGCGGTAAGAGTTCCCGTCTCGTGTTGATGATGTCATCGGTGTCAGCTGTGACAGTGGGCTGTAGGACAGAGCCAGGGTCGCGTTGTTTACCAGTGACGATTGAAGCAGAAGACTTGGTCGAATACGAGAAAACGCCGGAACTTGTCTTGGTGGATAGCCAACCACACCAGAACCTGGACCCACAGCTGGGTCTACGAGACCAGGTGAGGACTCATGTGGATCCAGATTTTGATTGTAAAGATCTCCACGACTGAGACCAATTTTCTCCAGGTCCTTGCGACTTTGAAGTAGAATTAGGTAATTTAGCCACGGATTACCGTATTTTTCGGACTATAAAGCGCACCTGATTATAAGGTGCATTAAGCGAAACAAGTTCATTTTGACAGATTGAGCGCCGTGGACCTAGGCCTGTCATGATAACAAATTTTGCCGGGCGATTGTCTCAGAAATTATTGCGATAAACTATAATATTGTTTGGAAATTTGACAATAGTAATAATTGTCAAATTTAAGAAGAAATTTTGCTTAACTTGTTTCGAGTGTAGTACCTTTGTTGACCACTGGATGGCAGTAGAAGACTGTTCGAACCAAAGGATGGATAGTGAGGGAGCGATTTTAAGTGTACCTTATAGTCCGAAAAATACGGTAATCAAAATATCTTTTATGTGAATACAAGTGGTACGCCATCGGTGAAGGTGGCCATCTTGGATTTAACGTCACAAGCCACAGACAAGTCGGCACGTTGCTCATTTTTCATGTTTACAGGCTCAAAATGTTAAAATATTTACAGATATGATGGCGGCCATCTTGGATTTTGACGTGGCAAACCAATTTTGGAAAGAAACCTTTCTTGCGCCTCGATGTAGCAAGACTCTGAAAGGGTTTTGACGCAATTTACGTTACGTTCAAGACACTAAATTTCACATTTAAACTAAAAACCGCTGCATATTCCATCCAAAGTGGCTTAATCTCCTCTAGTTGATTTAATTGTGTGACAAAAATCACGTCATTTTGTTCTCAGAGTAGCTCCGCCTTTTCAACATACACAATCCCAGGACAAACTTTTTCTCCTAGGCGTATGCGCTACGTATTGTGTGATTGGTCAAGAGTTTGTGGGCGTGTTTGGCAATGCGCTTGGACATTCAGCTGTAGAACTCTTCAAACACTCTAATTTAGTCAAACAGACAAAAACTCCTGGATGGAGGTCGTGCACACATTGTGCACGGAGGAGTCTGTCTGCTGAAAAGTGTGGCGCTTTCTTCATGATAGATTTGTGGCCGAATAGCAGGATGGAGAAAAGTGGAAGAAACCTGTGTGGTGGCGTATAGGGATGCACGATATTGGATTTTTGGCCGATATCCGATATGTTAAAACTTATTTGGCCAATAACCGATACCAATACCGATTATTTATTTATTTATTTTCCTAGACCTACTTACTTTACTACACAGCTTTCTCTGCTGTGGAATTAAACTACGACATTATTCTGCATGGTCTTTGTCAGTTTGTCCTGCTATCCCCATTGCAGATGCCAAAAAGGGGCTGAAAATGATGAAACACTTCAACTTGGACTATGTTTAATGTCAAATTTATTCATGACATTTACTCTCTAACACAATGACGACACTCGAACAATGCAAATTTGTAAATTTTCACAAATCTAAACTCAACCTGTTCACAAGCGACAAGTGAAAAGCGCATAAGTAGAAGTGCAGTAATAGATATACTATCTATTATATATGGTATCAGTTTTCGACACTTTAAAAAACTTCCACACCGCCGATATTTTCACTTCTTCCTCTCCTGCCGTGATCAGGTAAAGTAGGTGTGCGTGATGTCATCACGTTGTGCAGGCGCTGCAGGAATCCTTGTCCCTGGGTTGTCATACAAAAACAAAGCCTTTTATATTGGTGAGTTAATTTGGAATGGAATGGCTGATGTCCGATATTTATCTTTATCGCTAAAAAATATTGGCCGATAACGATACCATGCCGATAATATCGTGCATCCCTAGTGATGTATACTTTAGGGGGCGGGGTTAAGCAGGAGCTCTACACCGTGTCTTGTGGACGATGAAGGTTTGCACGAACAATGTCCTGCAACCACGTGAGCGCGAGTCGATGGTTGAGCTCTGGATGGAAGATACCGGGACCTTAAGACTGTTGTCTCATTGAAGATCTTGCAGTGTGCGTTAGCTGTTGGAATACGTGTTGTGCATGATTCTCAGCTACTACCACAATTAATTTTTGCTAAATATTTGTAAAACCGTTGGAGTTATAGACATTTTTGTGTTTTCATAAGGCTGTTGGCTGTGGCAGCCATCTTGAATTGGGTTGACTCCAGAAGTTATTATAGATGTAGATCAAAGGAATGCTTTTTGCATTTTTCCATAAAAAAAGAAACAAAATCTGTTGGTTCATGAGATATTTTGCTAACACAACAGAACCTTTATCAGTTTGGTTTCTTCCCGCCCTCCACTCCAACAAGCCTTGAAATGTCATTTCAGTAAGTACTGCACACCTAAAATGTCAATTTTCCATTCTGTCCAAACCTTTTCTGATCATTTTGTCACGACTGGCTCGTGCTCATCAGACTCTAAAAGATTAAATGTGCAGCCTTGCATGCAAGCTCACACACGTGCACTTACGGTGGCCCGGTCCACGTCACCCTCCCGTGAGGTGAAGTCAAGCTGCCGTCTGGCCCGTCGCCGAGCGGCATGCTGGGAAAGTCAGGAGGTGCAGGCAGGCAGGGTGTGTGTGTGGAAAGAGGCCAGTGATACGTCAAAGGGTGCAAGAACACAAACAAAGAAAACACATGCAGGAGGGAGGGGGAAGAGACAGGGTACATGCATGTTTTTTTATTGTTTTGAGCTTCCAGAGGTCCAAGCAAAGCATTAACTGAGATTTGCTGCATTTAAAGCAGGTTCAGAATAGAGCAAGGGTACCCAACACTAGTCCTTGAGGAACACCATATTGCATGTTTTAGTCGTTTCTTTGCCTCCAACACACCTGATTGTAATAAATGGGTGATTAACAGGCTTCTGCAGAACTTGAAGTAATTAAATCACAGAATCAGGTGTGTTGGATCAGAGAAACAACTAAAACATGCAGGATGGTGTTCCGCAAGGACCACTGTTGGGTACCACTGTTTTAGAGGATCCTGATGGGTGCTCAATAATCTAGGTAGAAAAATCTAACAAAGTCAGGTCTTCTGGACAGAGTCAAAATATATATAAAAAAATAAAATTTAAAATTTTGTTGTTTCGTCTTATATCCAAAAGTCTTCTTCAGTCTGAGGAGCTGCAACAAACTCAGTCTTATAAATAGCACCTTCTCATGGTGGATCAACCAGTTTGTTGTTGACATCCAGAACTAGCTGTTCACATGATCAAGGACCATCAGCCTAATAATCAATTGTTAGTGCCTTGATGGCTGCTTGTTATTCACAGAGGGCTGAGTGATACTAGCAATAACAGCATTGTAAAAGGGGGACAGTTGAACACGGAGGCTCCACCCCTTTTAATGATGGACGGTTCTCTTCACAAAGATGGCTTCTTTCAATTATGTGCACATCCTTGATAGGAGAGAAGGAAGCCATCTTTGAGAAAATAACTGTCCATCATTAAATGGGTGGAGCCTCCGTGTTCATCTGTCCCCCTCTTACAATGCTGTTATTGCTAGTATTACTCAGTCCCCTGTGAATAGCAAGCGGCCATCAGGGCATTAATGATAGTCTGTAGGCTGATGGCTGACTCAACTTTGTTAGACTTTAGAGGATCACTTGCTTTCGTTAGTCAGTAGAGGAAGCTCAGGAGAGGTCGGTGTTAACGTTGCATTACTTGAAGCCTGGAGAAGTGTTGTTGTTGAAAACATGCAAACTGAACTGATCTCTCAGACAACCTTTAAGTCTGGACTTGTGTACCTCTGTGCTGGTCTGGTTCTGTCCTTGTTGACTTGGACTGCTCTGGTCCTCCGTCTCTCCTGCCGTCACTTTATCCACGTCCAACGAGTCCATGCTGGACGCCGAGGCCGAATTAATGCTGGAGCGCTGGGACGGGGCGTCCTGCTCGCTGACCGCGCCCACCGACCCCGTCCTCCGGTGCTGCCCGCCGCTGGACGACCCTGATCCGGAGGAGGGGCGTCTGAGAGTGGCGGAGGAGACTGAAGACGAGGAGGAGGAGGAAGAGGACGTTTGACGCGCCGCTTCGTCCATGCTGAGAGAGGCCCTCTCCAGCTGGGAGGTGATGTCATCCAGGGAGATGTTGGAGGCCGCGGGCCGGGCGTTCACGCTGCCGCCTCGTACCGTGTTGGCCGGCGACGCTCGAGTGCTGCTGCTGCTACTTCCTGTTGGGAAAGTCCAAACGTTTCCATAAAACGCGCCACAACCCAAAGACGGTAAACATTTCTCCTGTGCGGGCGTTTTCGTTTCTAATTTCACAAGAATTTTCTCATGACTGATTTTCTGCTATCATGACTTTTAATGACTTTTGATATTGGTGCAACTTCAGCTTTTGAAATATTTAACCTTTTCGGCCATTTTTTTTTCCCCACATAGAAAATGAACTGAGCTCATTTTTACATCCTTCAAATCTTTAGCTCCAATTCAGCTTCCTTCTGCAAATTTAAACTTTTTTCAGCTACTTTCAGCTGTTTTGTGATCCTTTCAGATTCTTTCTGCTAACTACTACATTTTTGTGCTTCTTTTAACTTCTTTCTGCTAATTTCAGCTTATGTTAGTTCAGCTGACTTCTGCTAGTTTCAGCTTTTTCTAGTATTTCAGTTACTATTCAGCTGTTTTTAATGCTAATTTAATCTTTTTCAGTTAATCCACATTTTTTGTACTCATTTAAGCTTTTTTTCAGCCTAATTCAGCAAAAATGTGCTCTTTCCACTTCCTTCTGGAAATTTAAGCTTCTTTTTAGCTACTTTTCAGCAGGTTTTTTTTTTTTGGTGCTAATTTCCACTTTTTTTTGTGCTCATTTCTGCTTCTTTCAGCATAATTAAGCAAACGTGTTCTTTCTGCTTTCTCATGCCAATTTAGCATTTTCAGCTACCGGTACTTTTTTTTTTTTTTTAAAGCTAATTTCAGCTGTTTTCAGATAAATTCATGTTTTTCAAGGTAATTTCAGTCTAAATAACTTTTTTCTGCTAATTTCAGCTCGTTATGTTTATTTCAGTTTTTCTCCTGCGAGTTTTAGCTTTTTCTGCTATTTTAGCTACTATTTAGCCATTTGTGTTAATTTTAGCCTTTTAAGCTAATTCTAGAATTTTGGAACTCATTTAAGCTCTTTTCACTTACTTCTGGTAGTTTAAGCTTCTTTCTGCTTTTTCAGCTACTATTCAGCTACTATTTTTTGCTAATTTCAGCCCCTCTTTTTTTTTTAGCCAATTCCCTAAATTTGTACTAATTTTTGCTTATTTTAACCTAATTCAGCAAATATGTGTTCTTTCTGCATTCTTTTGCAATTTAGGCTTGTTCTTTCATTTCAGCTACATTTCAGCTGTTTTTCAGCAATAAGCATTCATGCAGGAAATCCAGTTTCTCTGGTTTCAATTGATGAGGCATTTTGCTCGGTATAAAAACATTTGAACAGCTACGATCTTCAGACTAAATCTATCGGGCAGCGTAGATTCATGGAAGTACCTCCGCTGCTTCCTCCTCCACTCGTACCGGTGTGTTTGGTGCTGGCGCTGCGGCCCCCGGGGCCCCTCGGCTGGCCTTTGCTCTGGCTGCGGGAGGTGGAGTTGGGTTTGGAGATGGTACTGAGCTCCTGCTCGATGGAGCACAGGTCGGCCATCAGAGCATCCAGGTCCACCGAGTCGCCCTGATTCAGAGCCTCTGTGAACACCAAGGATGAAAGGACGTGGTGTAAGGGGGGGGGGGGGGGGATTACAAATGATACGAGTCACACTGTGTTTTTATTGTTGTCAGCACCGTTTATATTATACATGGAGAAGCGATAGGAGAAGTTGGCGATGTTGGTCTCCTGCCTCAGAGGCGGCTTCTGCAGAGCTTTCTGTGGCCGGCCGTCATCCAGACTCTGTAAAAACACAAACGCTGACGTTTCAGCCGAACCGTGTCCGACAGCCCCACACACAGAGCTGCGCAACACCAAGTGATGTGGGAGCGGGGTTGCTAGGATACAGGCTAAGAGACAGGATTAGCAGTGTTGGTGTTGCCATGGATACGGCTCCATCCCTGCGTCTCCTCTTCATTTCTGTGTGTGAGTGTGTGTGTGTGTTTCACCTGCGTGAGCTTGTCCAGCTCGCCCAGCCAGGCTCCAAACATCTTGTCCAGGTCCTGGTCCTCCTTGTCGCTGTCCTCCTCGGCCCCGTGGTCCAGCTCGTCATCGGACACCTGCTCCATCTACACCAGAGGGGGAAAAGGAAATGAAACAAATTAAAAATCTAATCCATGTGCGTTTAGAAATTTACACACCATGAGGTCACACTTCAGCATCTGTTGCCATGACAACTACACAGACCCTACCCCCCCCCCCAGCAGATGCACATGCATCACCTCCCCTTTTCTGGTGAGATCCAACAAAGAGGGGGGACAGTGGACCTCAGGACCAATAAATTACATTGATCACGTCCTGGGTGAAATGTTACGGAGTTCTTGTTCAGAGGCCTCGCTGTAAAAAAAAAAAAAGATGACAGAGCTCCCTCTAGTGGACAAAAATGGAAGCAAGGTCGAGTCAGGTCAGCTCCACAGACTGAAGGAGTCTTCGGAGAGAAGACGAAACTCAACAAAGAATCTGTCCAGAGGACCCGACTCAACCTCGTTAGATTATCCACCTGGATGTTTATGAAGCATTCACTCTGTTGTCATCCCGTTTTCTTCTGTACGATTCTCATCCCGCAGTTTTCAGCTGTTTCAACAAATCATAAAACGTTCAGCTCTTTCAGGACAATCCTGCTGTGACTTTTGGTTTTGGTGCAACTTTAGCTTTTTGACATATTTAGTATTTTCTGCCTTGTTTTTCCCTCATAGAAAATGAATTGAGCTCGTTTTTCATCCTTCACATCTTTAGATCCGTTTACCTTTTACTGCTCCTTCCACATTTTGTTCCGCTTCAGCTGCTTTCAGCTTCCTTCTGCAAATTTTAACTTTTTTCAGCTACTTTAAGCTAATTTCAGTTGTTTTGTGATCCTTTCAGATTCTTTCTGCTAACTACAACATTTTTGTGCTTCTTCTACTTCTTTCTGCTAATTTCAGCTCATTATGCTCCTTTCAGCTTATTCATGCAAGTTTCAGCTTTTTCTACCATTTCAGCTACTATTTTGTTGTTTTATACTAATTTAAGCTTATTCAACTAACTCCACATATTCTGCACTCGTTTAAACTTTTTTCAGCTTAATTCTGCAAAAACGTGCTCTCTCCTTGTAATTTCAACTTCTGCTTTTTAGCTACTAACCAGCTGTTTTTTTCCCTAATTTCAGCTGCTTTTTTTCAGATAATTTCCACTGTTTTGTGCTCATTTCTGCTTCTTTCAGCCCATTTGTTCAAACGTGTTCTCTTTGCTTTCTTCTGCTAACTTGAGCTTGTTCTGCCTTTTCAGCTACCTTTTTAGCTAATTTCAGCTATTTTCAGATAAATTCAAGTTTTTCTTGGTAATCCCTGATAATTTCAGCCTAATTAACATCTTTCTTATAATTTCAGCTTGTTATGCTCATTTCAGCTTTAACTGATATTTCAGGTACTATTTAGCGGTTTTAATGCAAATTTTAGCTTTTCAGCAAATTCCACATTTTTAGCTCATTTCAGCTCCTTTCATTTCCATCTGATAGTTTAAGCTTATTTCTACCTTTTCAGCTAATTTGTGTGTTAATTTTAGCTTATTTTTTAGCAGATTTCCTAATTTTGGCGCTCATTTCTGATTATTCAAAACCAATTCAGCAAATATGTGCTCTTTCTGCTTTCTTCTGCTAATTTAAGCTTGTTTTTACCTTTTTAGCTAATTTCAGCTGTTTCCAGATAAATTAAAGTTATTCTTGGTAGTTCCTGCTAATTTAAGCTTGTTATGCTCCTTTCAGCTTGTTTTTCTGCTGCTACTATTTAGCTGTTTTAATGGAAATTTTAGCTTTTCAGCAAATTCCACATTTTTTTTAGCTCATTTCAGATCCTTCGACTTCCTTCTGGTAGTTTAAGCTTCGTTCTACCTATTCAGCTATTTTTTGTGCTAATTTTAGCTCTTTTTTTTCTGCAGATTTTCGTGCTCATTTCTGATTATTTAAACCCAATTCAGTAAACGTGTTCTTTCTGCTTTCCTCTGCTAACTAAGGCTCGTTCTTCCATTTCAGCTACATTTCAGCATGTGTTTTTAGCTGATTTCAGCTTGGAAGTTATTAGACCTTTACGTCTGGCTGGTGACGTTTTCACAAACACTATACGTCTTGTTATAACACCAGGTCATTTCTGTACACAAGGACGTGTACATGTAGCCAAAACAAACAGCCGATGAACGTCGGAGTGTGTAACCTTGACGCGTAGCCACTTATCTCACACCGTCTCTGGTTTCTGCAGAAAATAAAATACCCGACAGCCGACCGAGTCACAGTTTGTACAGCTTGCATAAGAGAACCAAGAAGAGTTTCACAGGAACGCCAGCGTCCCCTGACGGAGAGCGGTTATCTCATCTGATACATTTGTGTTTTTGTCAAGTGGAAGGAAAACACAACAGGGTGCAGTCAGAGCGGGGCGTGCAGCGCCGGGTCACATGAGGAAGTACAGAGCTTGCACGCGGTGCATTTGCATGTTAGCATGCACAGAGAGAAAACGTCTCAGCGCAGTCAAACTGAAACTCTTCAATCCACCGTCCCTCTACGGTCAAACTGGATGAACACCCTCAAGTGACCCCACTGATGCGTCAGTCTCTTGTGAACCCCTTCTTACGAGATATCCTGATGCATGCTCAACCTTCTGATGAGAGTTTGTGTGGGTCCATGTTTGCTACAACAAGGCCAGCAGGTGCAGCACATGGTGCTAACGGGACACGGCAGCTGAGGGACGCTCGTGACGGCGTCGCATTACGGCGTCGATGACGGATCGCTTCCTGCTTTGGCACCAGGGAACGCGAAAGGCGGAGCCAAGAAAATCTTTCACGGACGTGGGGGTGGGAGGGCAAAACAGGAAATGGCCTGGATGTGCAGAATTCCTCATTTCCCTTACGGCCCCGGCTCGGTGTCGGGAAGCTCCAGCTGTCCTTCGACGTTTCTGGGCCGTTTACTGGGACCGGCAGGGGCGTGCAGACGAGGAGGCGTTGACGGGGCCCGTGCCAACGGAGGTGACCGAGTCTGGACGACGGTTTGCATGCATGCAAATCTCCATATGAAAAGCATGCCCTGCTGGACAGCACGACATCATCAGATCCTCGCTTATGGTTTCCAACATCCGCACAGCTGGCTTCAAATGTAAACACCGACCCAAACCCTTGCTGAGGGACTCCTCTAAAACAAATCAGCCCCGGGTCCTAAACAGACCTAAACCCACCATCGTTTACTGGTGTTTACAGAAAGTATCTGGTGTGCACAAACTGGATGAAAAGTACAAATTAAGCTAAATAAATAATGATCCCATAATGAATCAGTTAAAATGACTGGGGCTGCTCTAATGGAGCCTCAGCAGGAGATCCAGCTGCAGGTTTAAGTGGATTACCTCCCGAGGACCGGCTTTTACCGTTATGGAGCATGACCTCGTTGAGAGGTCCAGGCTGAGAACGATCAACCGTCAGCTGGCTCCTGTGGAAACGAGGACGGTCAGGGAGTCAAGGGTCAAAGGTCATCTGACTGGAGATTCTTCCCTCTGAATTTAACAGGGGGTGCAAGTTAACAATGTTTCTGGTGCGACATATTGAAGTTAGTAGGAGTCACACGGTGTGAAACAAGAGGTACCGTATTTTTCTGCGTATAAGTCGCAGTTTTTTTCCCCCACAGATTTGTAAGTCCTGGGACTTTTATACGTCCCCCCCCCCCCCCCCATATTCATAACGCAATTTTTGACTGACGCTTTAAATTTCTAAGAACTGCAACAGCGAGTCCTCCTGTGCACGTTAGCTTCACTCAGCTGGTGCAGGCGGAGGAACGCTGGAGAGCTAGCGGCGGATTGATTGATTGATTGATGGATGGATTGATGGATGGATTGATGGATGGATTGATGGATGGATGGATTGATGGATGGATTGATTGATGGATGGATTGATTGATGGATGGATTGATGGATGGATTGATGGATTGATTGATGGATTGATTGATGGATTGATTGATTGATTGATGGATTGATTGATGGATTGATTGATGGATTGATTGAT